ACAGAGTTAACGTAATGAAAGGCATATAGTCAGTATTTCAGGCATGAGCCACCACGCCTGGCCCAGAAGAGCATACTTTTATTTTACTAGGTAGAAGGAAATAGGAAAAATGACAGGTAATGAAATGGCAGTAAAGAGGTGAGGAAGGCTTTGAAATCTTGTAAGCAGAGCAGCTCTGTGATACAGAGCTTCCAATGTAGCCATATGCTAGAAGTCAGTATGTTGTAGAGATGCAAGTCAGTGAAATCAAGGAAGTCAAAGAACCATGAAGAGAACGTGTCAGAAGTGTCATCAGTGTATATCTTGAAATCACCATGAGGGATAAGGACGGAGTGCAGGGAAGAAAGGGAGAGGAGGGTGAGCTTCATGCTAAAGCTGTCTAGGGCAATAGATATTGCTAAGGAATGTGGTGACAGAAAGTGGTGGCAAGGTTTTAGAGTAAGAAATGGAGCATTCATCATGGAAGATCAATGACGTGGAAGGTTTATCAAGGAGCAGAAAGTAGGCCATGCTCTCTTCCCTTGAGTCAGGGATTCTGTAAGAAGATGCAAGGTGGGTGCGGTGGCTCACACCTATAATCCCAGCACTTTGGGAGGCTGAGGCGGGTGGATCCCTTGAGGTCAGGAGTTCGAGACCAGCCTGGCCAACATGGTAAAACCCCATCTCTACTAAAAATACAAAAATTAGCCAGGCGTGGTGGTTCACATCTGTAATCCCAACTACTCAGGAGGATGAGGTGGGAGAATCGCTTGAACCCGGGAGGCAGAGTTTGCAGTGAGCCGAGATTGTGCCACTACACTCCAGCCTAGGTGACAGACAAAAAAAATTAGCCAGGCATGGGGCCACTTACCTGTAGTCCCAGCTACTTGGGAGGCTGAGGCAGGAGAATCACTGAACCTGGGAGATGGAGGTTGCAGCGAGCCAAGATTGCACCACTACACTCCGGATTGGGCAACGAAGAGAAACTCCATTTCAAAAAAAAAAAAAAAAAAAAGATGTGAGGGCCGGGCTTTGGAAGGCCATAGTGGGGAGATCACCTGAGGTCAGGAGTTCAAGACCAACCTGGCCAACATGGCAAAACCCCATCTCTACTAAAAATACAAAATTAGCCTGGCATGGTGGTGTGCACCTGTAATCCTAGCTACTCGGGAGGCTGGGGCAAGAGAATCGCTTGAACCCGAGAGGCCGAGGTTACAGTGAGCAGATTGTGCCACTGCACTTCAGCCTGGGCGACAGAGCAAGACTCTGTCTCAAAAAAAAAAAAAGATGTGAGAAAGATAGGCTTCTAAGTTAAGGCAAATCATTCATTCTGTCATTAAACAAATACAAACCAGGGACCTGTCATATGCCAAGTGGTATTCAAAGTGGCCCATGTAGACCTTTGTGAAGTATGTGGCCTAACAGACGTTAAACAAACATCTGTGAAACTGGCATAATAAAGTAAGGTAAGTTATATGTGAGACATTCTCTTTTTATAATTCTTGTAAAGCAGTACTTACTTAGGTAATGAGACCATACTGTTTTGTTTTATATTTTTCCTAAGAACTAAAACGTCATCCTCTCTTCAGTGATGTGGACTGGGAAAATTTGCAGCATCAAACTATGCCTTTCATCCCCCAGCCAGATGACGAAACAGATACCTCCTATTTTGAAGCCAGGAATACTGCTCAGCACCTGACCGTATCTGGATTTAGTCTGTAGCACAAACATTTTCCTTTTAGTCTAGCCTTGTGTTATAGAATAAGCTTGCATAATTATATACTTCTTAATACTAGATTGATCTAAGGGGGAAAGATCATTATTTAACCTAATTCAGTGCGCTTTTAATGTACGTTACAGCTTTCACAGAGTTAACGTAATGAAAGGCATATAGTCAGTAATTTATCTTAATCTCAAAACTGTATATAAATCTTCAAAGCTTTTTTCATCTATTTATTTTGTTTATTGCACTTTCTGAAAACTGAAGCATCAATAAAATTAGAAGACACTATCGAGAGTGAGCCACTAGCTTGATTTTCTTTCTCCTCTGATTTCAGTTCACTGTTTAGTTTAGTATTAAAATAACAAAATAATCATACAGTTTCATTTGATTGTAATTTACTTGCATATTACCTTCAAAAGCTGTGTTCTTGAGGGCAATCATTTAAGCCATACTTGTGACCTCAGAAATGCAGCTGGAAGGCCGGGCGCAGTGGCTCACGCATGTAATCCCAGCACTATGGGAGGCCGAGGCGGGCTGATCTTGAGGTCAGGAGTTCGAGACCATCCTGGCCAACATAATGAAACCCTGTCTCTACTAAAAATACAAAAATTAGCCGGGCATGGTGGCAGACGCCTGTAGTCCCAGCTACTCTAGAGGCTGAGGCAGGATAATTGCTTGAACCCAGGAGGCGGAGGTTGTGGTGAGCCAAAACCGCACCACTGCACTCCAACAGAACGACTCCGTCTCGAAATAAATAAATAAATAAATAAATAAATAAATAAATAAATAAATAAAGGCAGCTAGAAAATTCCTTCGCTTAGTAACTCCTTTGGGGAATAAGGAATAAACAAAAAGACTAAGGCTTTCGTTTACTTTCCTAATGATACAGTTTTGCCGCCTTGATTTCTATTGGTGCTTACTCCACAATATGTATTTGTTTAAAATAGTACTGGAGGCCGGGTGCGATGGCTCATGCCTGTAATCCCAGCACTTTGGGAGGCTGAGTCAGGCAAATCACTTGAAACCTGGAGTTTGAGACCAGCCTGGCCAACATGGCAAAACCCCATCTCTACTAAAAATATAAAAATTAGCCAGGTATGGTGGTGCACACCTGTAGTCCTAGCTACTTGGGAGGCTGAGGCATGAGAATTGCTTGAATCTGGGAGGCGGAGATTGCAGTGAGCTGAGATCACGCCACTGCACTTCAGCCTGGGCAACAGAATGAGACTCGGTCTTAAAAAATAAAATAAAATAGTATTGGAACAATTAGGTGTGATATATTGTAGCAATTTGAATATCTTGTTCAATTTTAATAGAAAATGTGATGCGTTACATCTTATTGTCATTTATTAAAACATGCAACATTATCAGAAACAGATTGATCCTTAAAAAACAAAACATAATTTTCTTTTGCTTAATAAATATAACTATCACAAGCACATCTGTCAACATCATTCTTTTCAACAAAGCGAGACCCCATCCCTGGGGGTAAAAAAAGACTTGTACCTTTTGCACATTGGGTTTAGTGTTTTTACTTTCCATTACCATCCCAATAAACAGCCCTGTTGTAGTTGACAAAATGTACAAATTTAAAATGGTTACAGTGAAAGATATACCATTATAATTAGTGCTATATAATTGAATCCATAGGTTAATGGTTTTACTGAGCTTGTTTTAGTAATAACTACTTAGATTTAATGGTCACTTCTAGTAAAATGTTCAAAATACAGTTGTTAAAAACTTGAATGTGAATTACATCTTTCCCTTAAATTAGGCAAAAGCATAGAATTATCTATTATCCTTTTACGGTATTTGCCAGTAGTAGAAAGAAAGTAAGTTTTGGAATCAAACAAAAATTGTTGAAATCACTGCTCTGCCACAATAAAAGGCCTCTGGCAGGTTAAAGTGAGCTACTGATAACTCACTGTACAGTGGGGATTAATAGTGATTAATTTGGAGAGTTGGAATGAACAGAGTAGATTAAGGAACAAGCCAGTTTAGTTGCTACCCAGGATATTAACCTTAACAGGGACTTGAAACATTACTGAATAATCGGGGAAATGCGCTCTGAGCATATTCCTAGTGCAGAAGACAATGGCCGTGAGTGGAAAGTTACACTGTTTACTCTAAACAGACCTAGCATGTGAAGCTATAATCACCTGAAATTCAGCCACAGGTAAGGCATGCTGTAATGGTATTTATTGGGAACAGGTGACTTATTATCTAAATTTATACCTGTCAAGATGTAGATTCAGACACTTGCTAAGGAAAAACCTAAGAGGAAAGAACAATGGGAAAAAGGGAATGGTTGACAGCTGATGTATATGTGTGCATGCACGTCTTTAAAGAACACCGACGGCCACCAGTAGAAATCCATGCATCTTTTGCTATGAAGGAAATCAGAATATATCATCCTAAAATGCCTCTTTGACATAAAAATATTTTTGAGCTAAAGGCAGTTAAGCAGCAGCAAACTGAGGAAAGCTCTCCCCATCCCCCTGCCTTTCTGCCCAAAGGAAGGATATAAATTCTCCTTTGCTGGAGACAATTCTAGAGTCTTATCTACCAGGGACAGCACCAGAGGAATTGGCAAAGAAATCTTATTCAATTCGTTTCCTCCCACATACAGTGTTTGCCTTCTCAAAGGTTCCAGTCCTTGGAAGCCTAAAACCACTTTCCTTTGTCTTGTCATTTCTCTACAAATATATTGTTCTTTGTTGAAGATGCTGTATGAACTAGAGTTCTAAGCCACTACTTTAGGTTATGTTTCATGGAGGTTTCTCCTATGTGATGTGTACTACACACACTGATAAACTTGTTTTTCTATTGTTAATATGCCTTGTTACAGGAATCCATCCCAACTAAGAACTCATGAGAGTTGAGGAAAAAACTTGTATTTCCTCCCTGACAGCTACATACAGTTTTTGTTTTTTGTTTTTTGAGACGGAGTTTCACTCTGTCATCCAGGCTGGAGTGCAATGGCACGATCTCAGCTCACTGCAACCTCCGCCCCTCGGGTTCAAGTGATTCTCCTGCCTCAGCCTCCTGAGTAGCTGGGATTATAGGCGCCTGCCATCATGCCCGTCTAATGTTTTGTGTTTTTAGTAGAGACAGAGTTTCACTATGTTGGCCAGCCTGGTCTCAAACTCCTGACCTCGTGATCCATCCACCTCTGCCTCCCAAAGTGCTGGGATTACAGGCGTGAGCTGCCCGGCCAGCTATATACAGTTTGCATTAATAGAAAATAATTTGCGGCTGGGCATAGTGGCTCACACCTGTATTTCCAGCACTTTGGACAGCTGAGGTGGGAGGACTGCTTGAGGCCAGGAGTTAGAGACTACCCTGGCCAACACAGCAACACCCTGTCTCTATCTAAATTTTTTAAAAAATTGTTTTTTAGGCTGGGCATGGTGGCTTAACGCCTGTAATCTCAGCACTTTGGGAGGCTGAGACGGGTGGATCACCGGAGGTCAAGAGTTCAAGACCAACCTGGCCAACATGGTAAAACCCCATCTCTACTAAAAATACAAAAATTAGCCAGGTGTGGTGGTGCACGCCAGTAATCCCAGCTACTCGGGAGGCTGAGGCTGGAGAATTGCTTGAACCTGGGAGGTGGAGGTTACAGTGAGCCGAGATGGTGCCACTGCACTCCAGCCTGGGCGACAGAGCGAGACTCCGCCTCAAAAAACATTATTTAAATATGTTTTGTCCCACCCCCATTAAATGTTAAACAAATCCAGAAATTATGTTTCAAGAGTGGCCTGTTTATCTTGGCCCGCCTATGTTAGAATTAAGTAAGATGAAGTACACAGCAAACATAAAAGGTGTTTAATAAATGGTAATTATTTGAACCCTAAGTACCCTACTGCTTCCTGGAATATACTTTAATTTTGGGTTTGGGAAGTGGTAACTATATAAAGCCTTGCTATTATGCTCCAAAACATCTTGAAGGACATTCAGGTCTAATTGCTCTATTTGCTACAAAGAACTGTCTTATTTTTAGCCATTTATAAAAATGCTGAGAGTCCAGAATATAGCACAAATATTTATTGTTTACACTAGGTCTTTTGATTAATACCAAGTCAACCGTGGTGAGTCATTCTTTTAACTATGTGGAGAGTGTATTGTACGGGACAATATTTGAAGGAAGGAGACTGAATAAAAGGCTTCTGCACCAGCCCACCTGGGTTCAAGACATATTTTAGAGGCAGGAGCAACAGGACTTTACTGATACATGAGCTGAGGCAGGTGAGAGAATGGAGGAGCCACATTTGACACCAAACTTCTGGCTTGAGCAGTTGGGTCGATTGTGGTGCTACACCCTGAACTGGCATGAGGGACAGGATGGGTAGACATACTAAGTTTGAGATGTCTGTGAGACACCCAAAAAAAATTCAAGAAACCAGCTGGACACCTCCAAATAAAAACGGTATGTCTGCAAGTTATTTTACACTCTTCCTTCAACAGGTGAATGAATAAACAGGCACATCTATATAATGGGATATTATTCAGTGCTAAGAAGAAATGAACTACAATGAAAAGACACAGATGAATCTTAAGTGCATATTACTAACTGGAAGAAGCCAGTCTGATAAGGTGACACACTGTATGATTCCAAATATATGACACTGTAGAAAAGGCACAACTATAGAGACAGTAAAAAGATCTCTGGTTGCCAGAAGTCAGCAGGGAAGGATGACTAGGTGGAGCACAGAGGATTTTTTAGGGCAGTGAAACTACTCTGTATGATATAATGGTGGATACGTATTTTAAATTTGTCAAAACTCATAGGATGTACACTAAGAATGAGCCCGATGGTAACGATATGTCCATGTTGGTTCATCAGATGAAACAAATGCACCACTCCACCAGATGTTGACGGTGGAAAATGTTGTGCAGGTGGGGCAGGGGGGAGAGGAGCGTGGAATATGGGAACTCCCCTTTCCACTTGATTTTGTTGTAAACCTAAAACAGTTCTGAAAAATAAAGTCTCTGGCCAGATGCGGTGGCTCACACCTGTAATCCTAACACTTTGGGAGGTCGAGGCAGGCGGATCACCTGAGGTAAGGAGTTTAAGACCAGCCTGGCCAACATGGTGAAACCCCATCTCTACCAAAAATACAAAAAATTCGCTGGGTGTGGTGGTGGCGCTAGTAATCCCAGCTACTCAGGAGGCTGAGGCAAGCGGAATCACTTGAACCCCAGGAGGCAGAGGTTGCAGTGAGCAGAGATCGCACCTCTGCACTCCAGCCTGGGTGACGAGAGGGAAACTCTGTCTCAAAAAATAAATAAATAACAATAAAAT